TGTGTTGTTTAATCTCTAAGAATTTTGGGACTTCATTAAATTCCACTGTGGTCAGAGAGCAGATGCTGTATGATTGCAGTTCTTTTACACATGTCAAGATGTGTCTTATGGCCCAGAATGTGGTCTGTCTTGGAGAATGCCTCTCATGAGCTTGGGAAGAATGTGCCTTCTGCTGCTGTTAGGTAAAGCAATCTCAGATGCCCAGGTGACTGATGTGCTTCTGACTTCAGCTACATGCTTAGTGATCTGCCTGCTGGATCTATCCATGGATGATAATGGGGTGTGAAGTGTCCAACTGTGATCTAGACTCATCTATCTGTGGTGTTCTATCAGCTTTGGCCTTAAGTATTTGATGCTCTGTTGTTAGGCACACACATAAAGAACTATTATATCTTCTTGGAGTATTGTCCCCACTGTCATAGAATGCCCCTCTTTATTGTTGTTGTTGCTGCTGCTACTATTTTTTTGAGTTAAGTCTTACTCTGTTGCCCAGGCTGGAGTATAGTCATGTGATCATGGCTCCTTTCACCTTCAGACTCCTGGACACAAGCAATCCTTCCTCTTTGGCCTGCTGAGTAGCTGGGACTACAGGTGCATGCCACCAAGCCTGAGTAATTTTTTAATTTTTTTTTAGAGATGAGGTCTCACTATGTTGCCCAGGTTGGTCTTGAACTCGGCTCAAACAGTCCTCCCACCTTGGCCTCCCAAAGTGCTGGGATTACAGGTGTGAGCCACCAAGCCTGGACTCTTTATCTTTAATAATTCTCCTTGGTCTAAAGTTCACCTTGTCTGAAATCAATATAGTGATTCCAGCTTTTTTTGTTAGTGTTGGCATAGTATAACTTCCTTCTGCCATTTACTATTAAGCCACGTGTCTTTATATTTAAAGTGGGTTTCTTGTAGGATCACATAGTTGGGTCTTAAGTCAGAGTCTCACTCTGTTGCCCAGGCTGGAGTGTAGTGGCACAATCATGGCTACCACAGTCTCGACCTCCTGGGCTGAGGCAATCTTTCCACCTCAGCCTCCCAGGTAGCTGGGACTATAGGCATCTGCCACCATGTCCAGTTAATTTTTTGGTTTTCTGTAGAGACGAGTTCTCACTATGTTGTCCAGGCTGGTCTCAAACTCCTGGACTCAAGTGATTCTCCTGCCTCAGCCCCCACTCTGACAACTCTGTCTTCTAATTAGTGCATTTAGGCCACTGGTATTCAAGGTGATTATTGAGATAATGGCATTGACGTCTGCTATACCTGTCATTCTTCTCTATCTGCTACTCTGTTCTTTGATTCTATGTTTATATTCCACTCTTTTCCTGGCTTTTGTTGTTTTAAGTGAGCATTTTATATGATTCTGTTTTCTTTCCCTTATTAGTCAATGACATTTCTTGCTAAACTTTTTTTTAGTGGTTGTCCTAGAGTTTGCAATATACATTTACAGTTAGTTCAAGTCCACTTTCAAATAACACGGCACCATTCCACATATTGTGTGAGCACACCTGGCCCTCTGTGCCTGTGAGTTCCATATTCCTGTGTTCAACCAACCAGGATCAAAGTATTTAGGAAAAAAAATGCAAAAGTTCAACAATAAAAAGATGCAAAATTTAAAAAGCAATAAGTATAATGATTGTTTGCATAGTATTCACGTTACATTAGGTATCACAAGTAATCTAGAGATGATTTAAGTTACTTAGGAGGGTGTGCATAGGTTATATGCAGATACTATACCATTTTATATCAGGGATGCAAGCACCTGCTGATTTTGGTATCCAAGGGTGAATCCCAGAACCAACCCCCACAAATACCATGACAAGACTTTATCTTCTAAAAACAAAATAGGAAAAATTTCTCATCTCTTTCCTTGAATTGTTATTCATTTTTCTTATACATAAGCATATGTATATATACATAGAAACATAAGTAATAGAATACATTGCTGCTTTTATTATTTTTAATAAGCCCTTGTCTGTTAAGTCAATTAAGAATAGGAAAAAAATTTTTATTTGACCTTCACATATTCCAATGCTCGTAGACTTGAGTTTCTGACTCTAACATTTTATTTCTCTCTAAAGAAATTTTAACCTCCGTGAGGTAATCCCATTGGCAAGAAATTCCCTCACTTTTTGTTTGAGGAAGCATTTTTCCATCAGTTTTGAAGGACAATTTCACAGGACACAGAATGTTTGGTTGATGGTTTTTCCTCTCAACACTCTTAATTATTTCACTCCATGCTCTTGCTTACTTGGTGCCTGAGAAGTCAGATGTAATTCTTATCTTAGTTCTATATAGGTTAGGTGTTTTTTCCACCTCCAGCTTCTTTCAAGATTCCTTCTTTGTCTTTGATTTTCTGTAGTTTGAAAATGGCATGCCAAGGTTAGCCATTTGTCCTTTATTCTGTTCAGTGTTTTCTGAGCTTCCTGGGTCTGAGGTTTGGCATCCAATGTTAATTTGAGGAAGGTCTCCATCACTATCACTTCTCCAGTGCCTCCTCTCACTGTTGTCCTTCTGGGACTCCTGCTGTGCATGTGATGCCGCCTGTAGCTGCCCTGTGGTTCTCAAGTGCCCTGTCCTGCATCTTCAGTCTTTCTTCTCTCTGCTGTTTTCAGTTCTGCAGTCTCCATCGAGATTCTCGCCTCAGCCACATGCTGACCTGCCCACCCTGGGTGTCTGCACTTCTGCAGATGCCTCTGTCCTCTGGCATTAGCTTCTGGTTCTCTTAGTCCTCTCTGCTCACAAGGCCCACCTGTTCGGGTGCTTTGCCTGAATCCTGCAGGTTGCCTCTAGATACGTGTAGATGTATGCAAGCAGCTGTGATGCTGTGCTTTTATTTGCATTCTTTTTGCTTTTGTATTGTTATTTTTTCTTCCTTTTAAGTCATGTGTGTGATCCCAGATGGCTGGCTCGTGAACAAGGAGACTGCGGGTGCAGAGGTCTGGCAGCCCACTCATGTGCTCAGTGCATGCCCCACATGTCGATCACTGGATGCTAGAGGTGTTGTGACCATAGCAAGACCAGAGCAGGCTGACAGCCTTGGGGCTTCTCAAAGAAACTCTTGACCAGAAACAAGGTCAGAAACGCAGAAGTGGTCACAGTGGGTGTTTCCCAAGCAAGGCAAATTGCCTGGGCGGCTGGCCACCCCTGTCGGGACAGCCCCTTACCTCAGTCCTGCACAGGGAATCCCAGCAGGCCCCAGTTCCAGCTGGGCCTCCTCTGGCCTACTTCCTCCCACCCCCATGTGAGCCACACCCATGTGAGTCGCACTGACACAGTATCCAAGATCCTAAGCAGTATAGACATACCAGCTGCTCTGGGGCTCCATGAAGGGCGTTGTCACAATACCCAATTACAGGAAAGAAACCAAGGCCTGGAGGGGTCAAATCAACTGTGGGACACTGGAGACCACATGCTGAGAGTGGCCCAGTCTCTGTCTGCTGGGGTCCGTCAGTGTCCCTTTCCCACTGGCTGGGATCTCACATGTGAGCAGGAACCCAGTTTCCACATGGAAGGTATGACACTGGGTGGGGCAGCAGCTGGCTGGTTGTCCACATCCACGCTACCTGTCTCCAGCATGACTCTTCCTCTGACGGCAACCCTGTACTGTCACCTGCTTATCGTGCCCACCTGAAGTGAGCTTTGAGAGGCAGGGACTGTGTTCTGCCCCTGCCTGGCCCTAGCAGTGAGAAGTGCCTGGCACATCACACTTGTTGAACACATGAAGGCATGTGTTAAGTCCACCCATGGAGCAAGAATGTGGGTGTGGAGGGACCCTCTACAGTGGGAAGAGGAGCTGCTTCTGCTTCCACTTTCTAGTTCACTTCTGGGACTAGAAATGAACTTTCAGCTGAGCTGCCCACTCCCCTCAGGACCAACCTGGATGCCCTCCCCTTGACGCCCTCCTGTCACTCACAGAGAACTGCATCCTCAGTGTCCCCCCCAGACAAACTCCCCTTATAACCAGCCTGGACACCCCCCCAGACACCCTCCTGTCACCCACAGGGACTTGCATCCTCAGTGTCCCCACTGACCACTCCCTTGGGGCCAACCTGAACACCCTCCCCTTGGTCACTCTCCCGAATTGTACACAGGGATCCTTGGCAGTAACATTTGTCAAGGGCACAGGGACATCTGTCCCTCTCGCCAGCCAGGGCTGCCTCAAGCCCAGAATTCTGCCCTCTTGGTCTTTACCCCTTTCCATGTCAGCACATGTGTCTTGAGGAATAGCTCCTCGCAGGGACTGAAGGAGTCCTCTTCATAGCAGCGGTCGACTCTGCTACCCAGGATAAAGAGCTTCCTGGACACCTGGACCCACTTACGAGAGGATGCGAGGGAGCATCTGGGACGGTCCACGATTCTTTTAACAGTTTTCTAGGTCTGAACTACTGGCACAGACTCACATGGCCCACGTGGCAATGTCGCTCGTATAGTCGGCTAAGCCCCACAGTTTACAGAGCCAACCTCAGACACTGCCCATCAGCGCAAAGCATGACAGGGCCCAAAATGTCTTTCCACAAGGCCCATGCCTGCCCCTGCATCACTGCGTACACATGGGTCTCCCTCCACGGACCTCACAAAAGCCCTGTGTCTGCGAGGCCCATCTGACAGACAAGCAGCTGAGGTTCAGATACGTCGAGTGACTCGTCCTCGATCACAGCTGGAGTGTGTGCTGGGCCGTATGAGTACCTGGGGCCCACTGAGGCTCAGACACATGGAGTGACTTGTCCCCGATCATGGCTTCAGTGTGCTGGGCTGGCTCCAGAACCTGGGCCCACCTTCCCTCTCTTTCTTCCCTTTCTCCAGCATCCTTGCTCCCTAATAAGAGGACACGTCACTGTGGCTGCAAGAAAGCAGAGCTTGTGGCCATGGTGACAGTGAGCAGAAACTCATGGGGACTTCCAAGGGACAAGACGAGCCTCGCCAAGTGCCAGCAGGCTGAGAGTTTCCCCTCCTAGGCTTGGCGCAGACAGGAGTGCCGCGGTGGGCAGGTGGGGCCCACGGGTACTCACTGGTCTTCTCCTCCTTGATGGGGTACTCCAGCACATCAGGTGCACTCTCGCTCAGGGAAGGCAGGTGAACACACAGCACCAGGCACTCCAGGTTGCTGTCCCGGCGGACCAGAAACATCTGAAAAGGAGCAATGGAGGGTCATGAGTCAAGGACTCAGGTCGTGGTGCGGACACGGTGGGACAGAAGCAACCGAAAGGCTGTGATTTGAGGAGGCAAGTAGGGAGCCACCCTCAGGAGCGCGGGGTCTGTCTGAGCCACATAGCACCTGGCTATGGCCAGCAGGGCCACTGGGAGTCGCCACCTCTCACTTGCCCCTTTGTGTGCTGTAGACATGAGTTCTGGTCGGTAAAGCCCTGCCTCCTGCTCTGAGTGCTGAGCCTATGGGGCCTGGAAGCAGGAGGCACTGCTGTGGGCAGTATAGTGTCCTCGCTCTGGAAGCTTGAGTGATGGAGCCAGGCTGAGCCTCAGCTCTCCCTGGCACCCACTCTGGGGGCGGCTGTTGGAAACAATCACAGACATTAGTCCATTTTCATTCTTTTCTTGCAAAAAATAAAAAAATAAAAACAGCTGTACTTAACACAGAGCTCTCTCTGGGAGCAGAACTGCATGACACTCCCCAGAGAACAGTGTGCTCCATCCTCTCCATCACCCCATGGTGTCAGCTTTCTTATTAGCCCCACTCTACAGAGAGAGAAACAGCCATCCCAGGATGCCCCTCCTGGAGCTGCTGTGATGATGAACTGAGTTGACACCTGTAAGTTGACCCCATCCACTGACACACTCTGGAGGGCCACTGTTGAGGGGCAGGGGAATTGGTCCGGATGCTCAAGACCCCGTGACACATGGCCACTCCATGCAGCCCCCAAGTCCCACCAGCCAGGCCCACTCCTCCTGTGGATTCACTCTGTGTGACGAAGCTACCCTGAGCCCCAACATGCACCTGCACTCTAGTAACCCAACATGGCGAGGCCCCACCTGTGCCACGTGTTTACAGACACGCCTCCTGCCCCTGCTTCCAAGGATCCCCACAGCAGCCCTTCCCATGGCAGTCACGCTGTGGACTCTCACTTCTCTTCACAAATGCTGGTGCTTTGAAAGCTCCCTCCTGGGGTAACCCCCTCAGGTCCCCTCCCACTCTGGGAGCTTTTCTGTCTTCTCAATAAATCCTGCTTGTAAAAAAAAAAAAGAAATGTCCCTTCTGGTCTTGGCTGGTCCTGGCAGCTCCTCCCTCCTTCCCAGGCAACCCCCTCTGGAGTCTCTCCATCCTCCAGGGGTGAGGCCTTCTCAGGAATGGGGAGGGCCTGGCCCCAGTGTCTCTCCCCACTCCCCCATCCCCATCCCTGAGTTCAGGCCTTTCAGACTCCAGCCTTGGGCTGCAGGTTGGGAGATAGGGTGTGTGGCCCCAGCATGGGAGGCTCTGAGGGAGTACCTGTTCTACCTCCCCTCTGGTGGTGCTCTAAGCTCTGTCGCCATGTTCTGGATGACTAGTGTTGTTATCCTGCATGTCCTCACAGTCGTTAACGCAATGTTGGTATTACAGAAATGCTACATATACAACAGCTAATAAACACTGTAATTATAATACTATATTATTGATTAACAGCAGATAGCACACACTGCAGGTGCTCGCCCACTCTAAGGGTCTGATTCTCTCTGAAGGGCTCGGATCCCCCCATTCCCCCAATAGCAGTGGGTAGGGTGAGAACACTGGGCTGTGAGCAGGGATGCTGGTGTCCTTCCTGACTCTGTGCCCTTGACCAATTGCCTCCCCTCTGAGCTGGCGGTTCCCGTCTGTCGTGAGGGACTCGGCAGATGGATCCTGGGACATCTTCCTTCAAGAAGACGCCCCATAGCGTCAGTGCCCTGGAGTCAGTCCAGCCCCCATGAGGCTTGCAAGAGGCCACAGTTCACAGTGAGCTGCTGTTGCCCAGGGGATTGGCGTGCCAGCCCTGGGTTCCCTCCCCATCTGCCTTCAGGGCTGCCTTCACTAGCAGCTGGGCAGAGAGTGCTGGGCATCACTCAGCCACCACTCCACATAAATACAGAAAGAGCCCGAGCTAAATGCGCCATGCATGGTTTTGCTTTTACTACTTGTCTTTGGCCTGGACAGCCAGAGCTGTCTGCTTTTCCACTTCTGTTATTTTAGGGCCATGTTCCAGTTGCTGGGGAAACGTCTGCTCATGCCCACGGGGATGGGAGTAGAAGCGGCCAGTTTTTCCGAGTTGCTACCGCATGGCTATGCCTGCAGAGGTTGGCAGTCCCAGGAGAGGCCACCATAGACTCAAGGTGGGTGGGGGCAAGATGCAGCATGTGTCCTCCATCCCTGGTCCTGACTCCAACAGAGTGTGGGAGTTAGTGTGTGGGTGTGAGTGTGTGCATGTATGAATGTGTGTGAGTGTATATGTGTGTGCATACATTTGTGTAAGTGTGTGTGAGTGCATGTATGTGCGCATGCGTGTGTTCACGAGTATATGCACATGCACATGTGTGTATGTGAGTGTGCACATGCATGTGCATGGGTGAGTGTGTGAAAAGCTGCACAAACATCAAGTCACAAATCCTCAGAACCACTGAGAACTATAAGTGAGGGAAAGGTATGCGCTGCCCAGTACCTTTATCGACATGTGGGGAAACTGAGGCCTATCTTTCCTGCTACTTTTAACACAGCTGTAGCATGGCCCAGGCAGCATTTCTCAACCCTGGCTGCACATCAGAACTACCCAGGGAGCTTGCAGCAAATTGGATGGAATTAGAGACTATCATACTTACTGATCTATCGCAGAAACAAAGAAGTGAATACCTCATATTCTCACTCTTAAGTGGGCCCTGAACACTAGTCACATTAGCACAAGGGTAGAATTGGCAGTCACTGGGGCACTGACAAGTGGGGGGGGCACATAACAACACTGGTCCCAAACCAGGGGAAGTGAGGGCCAGTTGGAGGTCCAAACTTCATCTGAATGCAGCCTACTTGTATAGTTAATACTCACTAATACCCCACTTCTCAATAATAAAAACATGCCGATAGCCAAGGCCACTCCAAACCAAAGAAAGACGCATCTCTGGGGCATGGCCAAGACGCCCGTGGAGCCGGTCAGCTGCGGGTTCATATCACACTCTGCCGTGCCTCACCAGCTGTCTCACTCATAGGACAGATCTCACACCATCCACAGGGCTGCAGGGATGAGAGATGGTGCCTGAACACAGCAGAGCCTACCTGACTGAGAATGGAGCCTGCCCCCGTCTCACAAAAGGGACTTCCCTGACTATCTTTATCAAACTCACATGTAGCAGAGTTGGTACTCCCAGGGCTCATGCTAAGTCCCCACCTACAAGGGAATTCTCTCAGTAGGAACTCCTTGCCCCCAAAGCAATGATACTCTGGGAGCTGTGAACACCCACAGTGCCCGGGTCTTGGTGTTCACAGCTCCCAGAGTATCATTGGAACCAGGACTCCTGGGAGAAAGGATTCTAGGATGGGGGCAGAATAATACAAGGTGGGGCAGGAGCACCTCAGATCAGGGAAAAGCAGGGATGTCCCCAGCAAGACACACACACACACACACACACACAACACACAGTGAGGTGGCATCAAAGGGACACAGGAGCCACAGTCGGGACAATTTGAGCAATAATTGTCAAAGTAGTATTGGATTATAATCCACGACTCCATGTGTAAGTAAATCCATGGCTCCATGTAAGGAAATGACTGGATAAGTGAATAGATGGTGAGGAAGAGTCATGTCCCCAAGCAGAATTCCAAATAACTCATTAGGTACATAGGGAGGCACGGTGCCTCTATCCCCCACAGGCTGGGCTGCACATGATAACTTCCTTCCAGAAAGTAAGCACAGAAGAGAAAGAGTCATCTTATGGTGGAGAAACCTACGAACACCGCTTGACAGGTAAGCGAGGTCAAATCACCAGTGGGAGCCACATTGATAGCATGTGTCTGATAAGATGTGACAAGAGCAGCACTTGGCCTCTTTGGTCTCCTCCCAAAACCCACACCTTGGTCTAACCATTGGATATATCTCAGTCAAGGGACAGTCTACAAGGCACATGACCAGTGCTCCCTGGAACTGCCAAGGTCATCAGAGACAAAGAGACAAGAGGAGTCTGCAGACACCACCACTGAATGCCACGTGGTCTCCCAGTTGGGAGCCCAGAACAGGAATGGGTGAAAGCCAAGGAAATCTGAACAAAGCACGGCTTCAGCGATGACCAATGTATCCAATCGGTCCTCACTGGGACAGACGTGGGAGCCCTGGGTAAGGAGTGTGTGGGAATGCACCGTGCTATCTTGGCAATGCTCTGCACCTTGAAGACTCTTCTGAATAAAACATCCTGCAAGCTAGATGAGTGCAGAATAAATAAATGTGGCTTTTGATTACCTTGCTCCTGGATCACATAAACCAAACTGGGCCAGCATGTTCCCTACACTTTATCAGAGAAGCAGGCTGCAGGGCGGGAGGGGCTCACAGGGAGAGGGGTGGGATGTGGTCAAGGTCATATAGACATTTGGGAGGAAGGAGAGGGATTCCCAGCCTCCTGAGCACAGGCCCCAGGTATGATGGCATCTTGCCTCTCACGGTACTAGGAGGGGTCGACCCAGGGCATCTCTGGAGACCCTTGGGACTCGCACAGCCTGGGGGCCAGTCACTAAGAATGACTATGTCCCTGTACAATGATAGTCCCTTGGGTGTGCTACTGGGTAGTAGAGGGCTTGCCAGCATCCCAGGGATCCCACCACTGACCCTGTTCCAGTAGCTGTGTGACCCCAGGCAAGCGAGATGTCTACACTGTGCCTTCCCAGACTTGGGGACATTGATCCCGCCTGATAGAAAGAAATTGTAGTGAGGGTCAAAGGTCAAGTATCTGGCAACTGAAGGCACAAGACTGCCTGGGGCCAAATTCCAGCTCTGCCATGCTCTGCATCCTGGAGGGCACCCAATTTCTTTGTTTTGCAGTTAGCTTATCTGTAGAATGGTCAGAGTAGCAAACCCACCTTACAGGGTGATTGTGAGAACAAATGGGTGGATTCGCAGAAGAACTTCCCAGAGCACCTGGACCACGGCAGGCACATAGTGAAGGCCTGCTGCTATGACGTGTGACTGCAGGAGAGGGAGTGGAGGACACAACATGTTGACAGTACTGCAAGTTCTATAGGTGGGTTGGTGGCTGCCCAGGGACCAGGAGGGGACTGGGGAATGAGACTTAATGGGTGTGAGCTTCATTTGAGGGGTGAACATGTCTTGGAACTATGCAACGCTGTGAACGTGCAGAACACCACTGAGCTGAACACTGTGAAATAGCTAACTTTATACAATGTCACTTCACCTCAAATAAAAACAAGACTTCTGGGCAGTGAGTTAGGTTAGAGCAGATGGAAGGACCTTTATGAGACATGTTACTCTGTACTTTATTCACTTTGTCCAGCTGGGTTTCATTAAGTAATGAACACAGGAGTGTATCACTTTTATGATTACACATATTAAGAGTTTTTTTTAAAGAAAGCAGCATATAAGAAAATGCATACAAGAGGTGACAGTAGTTTATGATGGGCTCTGACTCAGATGTCATCACCTATCATCTGTCTAGATCCATCCATCCATCTATCCATCATCCATCAACCCACCCATTCATCTCTCATTCATTCATCTATCATCCTTCCACCCACCCAGTCACCCATCCATCCACCTACCCACCCATCCAACCATCCATCTGTCCATCCATCCACCCACCCATCCATCATCTATCCATCTATCTACCCACCAACCCACCCATCCATCCGTCTATCCATTCACCCATCCATCCATTCATCTATTCATCGATCCATCATCCATCCATCATCTATCCATCCATCCACCCACCCACCCATCCACCCACTCGTCCATTCACCTATTAATCCACTCATCCACCCATCAATCCATCCATCATCTATCCATCCATCCACCCACCCATCCACCCACTCACCCACCCATCCATCCATCATCCATTCATCTATCATCCATCCACTCACCCACCCACTCACCCACCCATCCATCCATCATCCATCTACCCACCCATCCATCCATCTATCTATCCCTTTATCCATGATCCATCCACCCATGCATCCATCATCCATCCTTTGATCCATCATCCATACATCTACACACCCATCCATTCATCTATCCATCCACCCATTCATTCATTCATCTACCCATCCGTCTGTCATCTATCGATCCATCCATCATCCATCCACTTACCCACCCGCCCATCCATCCATATATGACCCATCCACGCACACACCTATCCATCTATTAATTCATTCATTCATCATCCATCATTTCATCCATTATCCATCCACCCACTCATTCATCCATCCACCCATCTATGCATCCTTTTATCCATCATCCATTCACCCATCCACCCACCCACTCACCCATCCTTCCACCCACCCATCCATCCATCCATCATCCATTCACCTTCCCATTCACCCACCTATCCATCATCCATCCTTTTATCCATCATCCATCCATCCACCCACCCATCCATCCACTCATTCACCCATCTATTCATTCCTTTATCCATCATCCAACCACCCATCCATCTACCCATCTATGCATCCTTTTATCCATCATTCATCCACCCATCTATCCATTCTTTATCCATTCATCTTTTATCTATCATCTATCCCCCCACCCATCCATCTATCAATCATCCATCCACCCATCCACTCATCCATCCATCTATCCATCCTTTTAACCATCATCCATCCACCCACACTCCTACCCATCCATCCACCCATCTATCCAACCTTTTATCCATCATCCATCCACACACCCTCCCACTCATCCATCCACCCATCTATTTATCCTTTTATCCATCATCCATCCACCCATCCATCTGTCTTCCCATGGAACAGGAAAGGTGTGGATGCCCCCATTCAAATGTGACAAGTGAGCCTTAGGAAATTTAAGCTGCTTGTCCAGCTCACAGGGTCTGACTCCAAAACATCCTGGCTCCATCAGGGGTGTAAAACCATTTTACCTTCTAACATGCTCTAGTACCCAGGCACCTGGCTGAGATTTCAGAGTCCAAGCAGACCAGCAAGGTACTCCTGCCCCTCTAGGCCCATGTACCCAGGGAACCCACGCCAGTCACCCACCTCTGGCATCCCCAAAGCAGAAACCAGGCCTCTACAGCCCCCACTTCCACTTTCTGGAAGATACTGGAGTAGAAAAGCTGGTGTCTTCCAGACACTCTCTGGGTGTAGCTGCTTCTAAGCAGGTGTGGGGTGTGCCAGAGTTCCTGCCACCGTGCCCACCACCCATGAGCCCTGACTCACCCCGGCTGCCTCACGGTGCAGGATCCTGGCCGCCTCTGACTGGCTCAAGTTCAGCTGCAGCCACACGGAGCAGGTCCTTATGAGCTTCTCCAGGAGGCTGATCCCATGGTGGGGATGGCAGTTCTTCAGGGCGGCTGGCAGACAAGGTCCTGCGCCCCCTTCCTCCTCCTCCTCTTCTTCCTCTCTGCCAACATCTGGAAGAAAACTGAGAAACCGAGGCGAGTGACCAGCCATCCCGCAGCAGCCTGGGCAAGCCATGACTTGCAGTATTCCACTGGGCTGATGAATTTCCTTTGCAGCCAGCAATCAGCAACCTGTGGTGGCTAAAAGAGGAGCAGACCACGCTCTCACCTCAGGGTGCTTACAGTAGGTGGGGAGATGTGCCCCGGACAACCAGCTACTGCACTAGGAGGGGATGCATCACGGGAGACTGTGGCCCAGAAGCAGCCCCTTCAGCCAGAGGGCTCAGTACCACTTGGGCAGAGGAGGACTTCAGAAGCTTTTGATGAAGAGTAACTCACAGTGAAATCCACACATCTTTAGTGTGCAACTAGTCAGTCTTTAAAATGTGTCTACAACCACATAACTACCACCTGATCAGACAGAGGCCTGTGCTGCCAGTGCCGTGGCCACCAGCCACGAGGGGTTCCTGAGCTCTTCAGTGGTGGGGGGGAGAGGGCTGTCCACATCGAGATGTGCTATAGGCATAAAATACACATATGACTTGGAAGATTTGGTGTGACAAAAAGAATGTCAAGTAGCTCATTAAAGACATTTTATACTGTTTATATGTTGAAGTAATCATCTAGATATGTTGGGCTAAATAAAATATTACTTAGTTAGTGTTACCCGTTCCTTTTTAATGTGGTCACTAGAAGATTTAAAGTTACACATGAGGCTGGCACTATGTTTCCACTGGGCAGTGCCACTCTAGAACACTTCCAGAAGGTTTCTTTGTGCCCCTCCTGGCCAACATTCCCCACATCCCCAGGATGAGGAGGGGAGGGATCAAACCCCAGGAAACAGCAAAACCCAACCCAAAAGTTTCACTGGGGAGTGGGCACTGGCTGTTGCTCATATTTCTGTTTGGTTTACGAGATCCCAGACCCTTTCCAGGCTTGTTCTACTCCCCAACTGCTAAAGAGGACCTAGCTGGTGGCCACAACACTGGCAGCACAGGCCTCTGTCTGATCAGGTGGTAGTTAGGTGGTTGTAGACATGTTTTAAAGTCTGGCTAGATGCACACTAAAGATGTGTGCATTTCACTGTGAGTCACTCTTCAGCAAAAGTTTCTGACATTCTCCTCCACACTCTGCTCAGATGCCACCCAAGTGGTCCTGAGACTAAGTGGTCCAAGACACACACACTGGAAGGCTAGTTTTGACTCCAGAAAAGAAGGCTAATGGCTCACTGGAGGAGGGGGAGACATCCACCTGGGACCCTGAATTGTTAGGTAGAGGTTCACTGGAGGGGCTCCACCTGGGACAGCTGGACTATTAGGCTGGTGGCTCACTGGGGGTTGGGCCCTCTACCTGGAATGTCTGCCATGGACCCTTGGTAGCTGCCCCAAAGGCTTCTCTTCCAGGCCAGGCTGGCTCTGTCCCAGCAGACAGGCCAGGAAGGCAGGCAGTTAGGCTCTGGACCTGCCAAGCACGTTTTCCTAGTTGTGTGCGAGGCTGGTCTCAGCTGATCATCAGGCTACGTCTGGCTCAGGCTTTGGTGCACATAGGACCATAGATAGTGTCAAGCTGACCACAGAGGTCCCACGGGAATGGGAGAGGAGTGGCAGCCTCAGAATCGGAATCTGTTACATACGCATCACACACAATCACTCAACAATTGCTGTCATCCTGTTTCTGGGGCTGATGAACCGCAGAGGCCTGGGGGCCTCCACAGGCGCCTGGGGCTCCAGAACAGCTCTGGGAAAATCCTGGTGGGAGAATGTTCTTGGCTTCTCCTCACTCAGGAAACCAAGAAGCCTTCTAGGAGGAGGGGGGCAGGTGCAGCCTGAGACCCCAACCCTCGGGGGTCAGCCCAGGAACAGGGGATGGGCTCACAGGCCCCTGCCCACAGGCTCTCAGAGGGGAAGTCAGCTTGGGCAGGTCTTCCGGACCCTGGAAGCGCCGAGACAGGCCAGGTGCCCCTCATGGAGACAGCTGGCTTCAGCCTGAGGCCCCTCAGGGGGCAGCCCCCTTCACTCCAGGCCTGCCCTGGTGGCTTCACCCTACCTGGCCTCCAGCCCTGGCCTCCAGCCCCGGCTGCTCTGCTTCCCCATGGCTCTGCTCTCGAGAATCTTGGGCACTCATGGCCTCCAAGAAATCCAAGCTGGGTTCCTCCATCCTCCCTCTGGAACCTCGTCTGACTCACAGGTGCCTTTCCAATCCCAGCCACCCAGGCCTACCTGACTCAATCTGCCTGTCCTGCTGACCCCACCCCCAATCCTAGGTAGAGTTGTCCATTCCCATCAGCCCGGCTCACAAGCTATGATATCAAGTCTGTCCCCAGGGCCACATGCAGTTATGCTCAGTACACCTTCCTTCCTTCTTGGTTCTCTCTCTGTGCAGCCTAGTGGTTAACAGGGGCTCAGGAACCAGGCAGGCTGAATTAGAACCCCGGCTTAGGGCCTTGTAAGTGACCAGGCCTGTGCCTCAAATGGCCCCTACTTACAATGTGGCATGTAGACGTGGCAACCTCAGTGCACTGCTGGACAGAGTTCAGGGTGGCATCTGTTTGCCAAGGTGTCCCGCAACATTGGTATCATCCACTAATCACCCAGCACCCACTGGGGCCAGATGCCGTCCTGGGCTTATCATCACAGTGACAATAACAGTCATCACAGTGACAGCAGCTGACACTCCCTGATCAAAAAAAAAAACTCCTGGAAATTTCACGGGACATGGAGATGGTAACGGGGAGGATGGGATCTGGGACCTGTGTCCTGGAGGAAGGAGGCCGGAGGCAGCGGGGCTCAGGGACCAAGTCACTGAGGGCAACAGACAGGCCCTGATGTGAGCCCTGTGTTCTGGCGGTAGGAGGCTGGAAGCAGTGGGGCTCGAGGACCAGGAGGAAACTGTGCAGTGAGTATTGCTCCTACCAGTCGTGTCCCTGTCTGGAAAGTTCTCCAGGAAGGAAATTCCAGTCCAAGGTCATCTGTTTCAGTGCTCATAGCTGGTCTCCCAGGAGCTACCAAGGGAGGCCAGTTGCACGTTCCCTTCCTGGATCAGGCTTTTGCACACGGACCCCATCCTGGCCACCGAACTTGTCCCCTACAGAGCTCTGGCCCACCTTCTATCTGCTGCCGGGTGGAACAGGCCAGGACAACACGTGGGTGAGAAGGTGTGAGCGGGGGAAATGGGAAGAAGCCCTCCCTATCCCTCCTACGTTGGGGCTGAGGGGAGGGGGAGCGGCAGCCCCCAGTGGACATGGCTCTCCCCAGAAGGGGAGATGAGGGGCCCTGCCTGACTCCACCCAAGACTGGTCTTTCAGTGGCTGTGACATGAGACAATTCCAGGGTAGTGGTGAGGACAAGGGCGAAGGCATTGGGCCTTGAAAGACTCCGTAATGGCCACCGTGGACCTGGCTCATTCTGCGCAGCTCTGAGCATGCAGAACACACCCCCAGCCTGGAAGGGCAGTGGGTCTGCTCTGGCCTCTGTGTGGCTCGCTGTGTGGGCTCGGGAGAACTCACTCCAGGGACCCCACCTTCCTTCCTTCTTGGTTCTCTCAGTACAGTAAGGGAAGGGCTATGTGTTCCCACCTACTTCATGGGGTTGCTAGGGGATGGTGGTGGGGGTGGGGGGCAGGAGGTGGGAACCCACCCACACTGGAGGGGTCAGTGTGCACGGGGTGGGAGGCAACAGGTGTGCTGAGACAAGTGAGCCGTCTCCACACTGGAGAGGTCAGCATGCACTGAGGGGGGCAGGAGGTGTGCTGGGACAAGTAAGCCGTCTTCACACTGGAGTGGGCAGCATGCACCACAGCTTCCTGCAGGCTGCTCTCCCACAGGTACTGGCCAAGGACCCCAACCCCGCTTCTACTTTCGGAAACTCAGTGGTGTCACCATCTCTCCACCCTGGTGACACTGAGTCACCCTGTAGCCCCCCTACGTTGCCATGACCGCACTTCCTCCACCGGGGAACAAGTGTGTCACGTGCTCGCCCCATGCTGGCTGCAGTCCTGAAGCTTCTAGTAGGTGCCGCCTCCCAGCCCCAGGCCTCCTTGCAAACCACACAGATGTCGTCCCCCCAGGTCTGAGGTTCCACCATGAAGCTTTTGTTCTCTGCTAACACAGATGGCCACCTGCCCCCTCCGATTTTGTTTTGTTTTGTTTTGAGTCAGTCTCACTCTGTCGCCCAGGCTGGAGTGCAGTTGCATGATCATGTCCACTGTAGCCTTGACCTGCTGGGTTCAGGCGATCCTCCTCAGCCTCCCGAGAAGCTGGGACTATATGCATGTACCACCATTCTCTGCTAATTTTTTATTTATTATAGCAACAAGGTCTTGCCAAGTTGCCCAGGCTGGGATCAGGCAATTCTTTCGCCTCCACTTCCCAAAGGGCTGGGATTACAGGCGTGAGCCACTGTGCCCGGTCCCCTCTGATTTCAAAGTGTGCATAGTCCCTAGTGCTAGGACGTGGGGTCCCTGGGGTGAATTCTCAAGAGTAGGGGCTGAAGGGAGCCAAAGACACTGGCTGCCACAGATTGAACATTGATGTCACTCAAATGCACACTGAAACCTCAACCCAGGCGGATGGCATTGGAGACAGGGCCTTTGGGAGGGGTACAGATCATGAAGGAGGAACTGACGACCAAGACAGTGCCCTTAGAGAGGCCCTGAGAGCTCCCTGTCCTTCTGTCAGGTGAGACATGGGCAAATGGTAGCTGTCTACAAGTCAGGAAGGTAGCCCTCACCAGATGCCCAGTCTGCCACATCTTGATCCTGGACTCCCAGCCTCCAGTACTGGGGAAATACAAGAGGGAACCCCCCCAAACCCAGAATTATCTTTTGGAGGGCAACTCCTGGTAGTACAGGTTTTCCCCACTAGGTAAGTGTTCTAGGGATCCATTGGCATCAGTTGTACCAGCTAGTGTTGTGTGGGAGACTGCATTCGGTGAATTTTTTTGGAGATTCTTTCAATGCATTTGTCCATTTCATGATGGGTGATTTACAAGCACAGTTGCCCACTGTGGACTGAGTGTTCAGCAGTTTTTGACCCAAAACAGTATGATCCCATGC